TGATGCTTTTATTAGGGGTCTACAATCATCTTTGATCTGGAAAACAATATACTGTATTAGATTTGGATTCAGCCCAAAAGAAATCAGAGCTTTATTGTACTCAACCTGGATATTCATTTAGTGCTGCTGCTTCTGAACCAAAGGGTAGTAGTAGTCCTGAGAAACTGCTTGGATGTGTATCTGTATCTGCTGTTGCTAACAGTAAATGCTTCTTTCGTGGGCACTTTAACATTCATGTTCAAAATGTCCAGTGCATGAAGCAACACGTAACAAATGTAACAAAAAGGGACATTTTGCAAAGGTCTGTCACTCATCATCATCTTCTATGGCTCCAAGTGCTACCTCGGCTTCCTCCTGTCTCTGTGACGTCTGCCACTACACCAGCAGTGTCTAAGATTGTCCTTGATGGGGTTGAAGCTGCTGGCCTCATTGACAGTGGAAGAACTGAGAGCTTCATACATCCATAACTCAGAGAGTGCTGTCTCAATAGCATCTACTTCTCTTTCAACAAGTACACTTGGGTTCTGTAAAGTTTACCTAACTTTAAACGGGCAATACTGGCAATACTTCCACATCTGTGTACTGACGTTATTCTCGGGTAGGATTTCCAGCAACAGCATGATAGTATCACACTGAAATATGGCAGAAATCTGCCTCCTCTTGTTGATTGTGGGCTGACTACACTACTTGTTGACCCTCCAGAATTGTTTGTTAATTAGAAAGCCAACTTTTCATACTTCCCTGTTGGGCGCTGTAAACGCTTCTGCGCTTCACCTTGCACAGGATGTAAGGGGGTGCCCAATAAACTAGCCCCCTCGGGGGCAAATTTGAATCTGAATTAGAAAGCTGATTGTCATTCTATAGCTGCTAAGTCACGCCACTATAGCTCTGATGGGGGTCGGGCCAGTCTCTATTGGAATTAATCCCATATGTTCTGTTGTTCACTTTACGGGTTTTCACTTTCCGTGGTACCCTGTGGGTTCAATTGACAATTGACCGCGTACGTAATCGGGGTACTACTGTATACAGCATATATAATAAAATTTCATGTGCTTTTCATTTAGTGTTTAATTTTCTTTGTTTAAAGGACTATACAGGTAGTCATTTTCTGTTAAACTTATACAGCAAATATATCCATCAGTTTTCCAGCATTTTCGAAAATCCGGCACTCCTCAGGTCCCGAGGTTGCCGGATTTTTGATAGTCAACCTGTAATAATAATAATAATAATAATAATAATAATAATAATAATATTAATAATAATAATAATAATAAATAATAATAAATAATAATAAATAATAATAATAATAATAATAATAATACCCGTAATAATAAAGAAATACAAAAATGAAAAAAAAAATATCAAGAGTGAGAAACAATATACAGTAAAAGTCCCAAAATCCGGATGCCAGAAATCCGGACCACCCGAGAATCCGGACTTTTCGATAATTTTTTTTTTTTTTTTTTTAGCAGGCTTTTGTGTGTATGTGCGCAGGCGTGAGCGCCACAGCTGCACAGCGACAACAAGCGACCTCGTGGTCGCCACTTTAAAACGAGCAATCAAACTGTGACAACATACCGTATATACTCATCTATAACCCCCCCTCGTTTATAGGTCGACCCTGATTTTTTGACCAAGAAATCGTTAATTCATGATATTCCTCGTTTATAGTTCGACCCACGTTTTTGAGGGTAATGGAACAACAAAACCTTCAGTAAAAACACTACGTCCTATAAACCGAGTCTTGCCGTGCCTGAAACACGAGTGCCGAAGGCAAATTGTTTACCATTTATTATTACGACACTTTACACTGAAACGCGGGTAGTTTCAACAAAAATATTGTATATTTCCATTCAAACATTTATTCAAGTCAATTAGGAGGGAATATTATTGTAATACAGTTTCTTAACTAAACCATTCGAAAAGCGATTATGGTAACATCTTTTGAACGAAAGAAAGCGAAAGTCATTGTTTTCGTCACGATTTGATCCCACTTTCCACTGTAATACGTACGTAATTTCAGCAAAAATATTACATTTCCGTGAATGCATTATATCAAGCACAGTATGAATAGAATATCATTGTAATATAACAGAATTTTAACCGAAAACTATTAAAAAAATGAGTAACATCTCAAGAACATCGGAAGCTTAGGTAAAGTCTTTTGTTTTCGTCATGTATTTTATCCTATTTTACATTGAAATACATCACGTTTCAGCAAAACTACTATTTATTTCCGAGAATATATTCATTCAGGCTCAGTTTAGGTAAAATATACGTGATGTAATAATTTTTTAACTGAAAACGTACCCTGTAGCCCTGTTCAAGGAGAAGACTGGGAGAAGCTGTTTGGTGCTGCAGACGATAAAAAGGAAAATGATTTTGATGGACTTTAATGAAAATGTTCAGAAATATGGTATCGTAGTATTTATTCAAGTCAATTAGGATAGAATATTATTGTAATACAACAGTTTTTTAACTGAAAACCATACGAAAAGCGATTACGGTAACATCTTTTGAACGAAAGAAAGCGAAAGTCATTGTTTTTGTCACGATTTTTTCCCACTTTCCACTGTAATACGTACGTAATTTCAGCAAAAATATTACATTTCCGTGAATGCATTATATCAAGCACAGTATGAATAGAATACCATTATAATATAACAATATTTTGAGTCCTACTCTTTCCATTTACAGAGTGCTGTACAAGCCCATAATAATGGCTCCTAAAGTAGATAAACTTCGTTGTGTGAAGAGAAAGAAGAACAAGTTGAAATTGAGTGACAAATTTGAAATAATTAAGAAACTAGAACGTGGTGTGAGCAATACTGTTCTAATGGAAACATACGACATTGGAAAGTATACAATTTATGATATAAAAATGGCAAAGAATAAAATTCTAGAATTCACAGCTTTTTCATTAAAACTGCTCGTTTTGATAAATGAAGCATGCTATATTTGCTAATGAATAAACTATCAAAATGTACCTGTTCATCTCTTCTTTATTCCTCCTTAAATTTTAATTTTAAAAGTACTGCCTGAGAGTCCGGAAAATCCGAGAATCCGGACCAACCCAATCCCCAAGCAGTCCGGATTTTTGGACTTCTACTGTACCTGTATGTATGTTGTGTTGTCAAAGTAAGAGAAACCATTGAGACCCTGCAGAAAGTCAGATCATCAACCTGGGACTTGGTCACATAGCAGCAGGGTCTACCATTAGACAATACATTATGCTTCCAATATCTTCCCAGACGGTAGTGCCTCCTTGTTTGGTACATTAGCTGCATAATACCTACACCAGTGAAACCGTTGCTTGATATACAGCCCTTTTGGCACAAGTACACACACCTCTTTGAATATCATCACTTAGAACTGCTTATCAGTCGTCATTTTCATCAATTTAAAAAACAATCTGTATAAGAAGGTGAAGTCTTTAATACAGCACTCATTTTATACACCTGGTCACCTCCACACCTTAGGGGCTGTAGTGTTTACATTCTTTCTCTTGTTTTTGTCGGTATGACAACGACGGGAAATATTTTCCAACAGTAGAAGGTAAGCAAATGTAAACATGTATATCAACGTCTATATAAAACAAAAAATCTTTATTTAAAAACAAAATAAAAATAAAAAACAACTCGTTTTCGCAAAACCAATGACTGATTGGTTCTACATAATTATAAAACTGAAGAAAATAAGTCCTCCATTGTAGCTGTATTAAAATTAATGTAGAAAAATCAATATGGTTGTTTTAAGTAATGTTATTTAATGTTAATAAACGGAACAATGGAAGTAGCTAACAATTAAGGGTAAAAAAAGAGAGGTCACGTATGTACTGTAAGTGAGCACATGTGTAAACATATCATCATTACTCTACATAAGAATATAAAAGCAACACTTATTTACTGTTCATATATATTTTAATTAATGTTTCTGAATTAAAAAAATTCTACCCACCAGTGGTAGTAAAGTTTAAAACATAAGGACAGCAAATGTTGTTGTGTGTGTGTTTTTACTTGGATGACGAAGTTGTATTTAAATTTGGAAGATTTTAATTTTGTGGGGTTTTTACAGTCTAAAGGGGTATCCAAATATGAGAGCCTACTGTAAATAGGAGTCCAAATATGAGAGCCTACATATAAAGAAACAAACATTACTGCATTTGAGACCAGCAGACAATCTTTAGCAATTCCTCAATAGATGGCGCTGCCGCACCACTGCCATTAGTAAACAAACCACACAGCAGCAAGGGTTTTTTTTTTTGCAATATATCAACAATATTAGTTAAATCAATAGTTTTATAGTACTGTACAAAGAATACTTGTAATTGTTAAGTACTGTAATGAGGTAACAATCTTTGTAAGGGGCTGATTTCAAAAACCTCTGCTACAACTCATCGACTAGCATCCTGGAAGACGCACGGTAATTTTCGAGGTATATTTTTGTCATAAAAAGTGCGTCTTTTAAGCCGAAAAATACGGTACTCTAGATTTCCCATGTGTTCCCTTGTGAGAGTATGACAACTTCAACAATCATTGACTGTCTTTCCCAACTATTTTCACTTTTTGGAATGCCTGCTTACATTCACTCTGATCGTGGACCCTCATTTATGAGCAGAGAGCTCAGAGAATTCCTTACCAATGAAGGAATTGCTAGCAGCAGAACTACTAGCTACAATCCTCAAAGTAATGGACAAGCAGAACGTCGTAACGGCACCATCTGAAAAGCAATCAGTGTTGCCCTGAAATTATGTGGATAACTGATGCACTGCACTCAATATGCTCTCTGCTATCTACAGCGACCAATGCTGCACCCCATGAAAGACTAATGAACTTTTGTCGTCGTTCAGCGACTGGTAGCTCTGTACCAGCTTGGTTATGTACCCCTGGATCCATCCTCCTGAAGAAACATGTGTATCTAAGTAAGATATAGTCACTTGTCGACAAAGTTGAACTTCTTCAACCAAACCAGCAGCACGCCCATGTCCGCTACCCGGATGGCCGAGAGACTACTGTATCCATTCGACACTTGGCCCTGACAGAGCGTACAACAGGAAGTGGACCCCAAGCAAGTGGTGAGTTGCATGATTCTGTTGGTGATACCACCAGTGCCTCACCTAACATAGGTAGGTTCTTGTAATGCCAAGGAGGTCTCAATGAACACAAGAGATCCTGCTCCTATGACAGCTCTAGCACCTGAACTGGAATCTAAGGTTGATGTTGATTTGCAATCGCTGCGATGATCAGGATGTGTTCATCACACTCCTGTCATCTGGATCTGTGAGTGGAATCTTTGAGTGAAGGCAGAATGACATACAGTACAGTTGTGATTGTTGTTTATTGATGTTTTTTCTTTCTCTTTTGTTGCAGATACTACTAGATGTTTTGTGTTGAATAAAGTTAGCTTATTTGTTTTCATTCTACATCACCTAGGGCCCAGGAAATCAGAAAAACCTCAAAACCAGTTCATTCTTGGTCACAAGGGTCCCTCATTGATTGATTAATTGATTGTGGTAATTACATCCCTGGTGATGCAACAGCTTAGGTAATATGTCGCCAAATTAAACTAAAAAGTTAGAAGGCTAAAAACAAATAATGGAAGGCAAAAAATATAATAAATGGTATAAAACTTTCATAAAACCATTTAAACGTTAATAGATAAAACTTTAAGATTTAAGGCCGGCTTCCTCCACAAAGAAGAGGACCTCCCCTCCCACCCTACCCGCTTCCCCTCTCCAGCACCAAAGAGAGATGGTAAAACCCGTCTCCCCCCTCTGAGGAAGGAAGAAAGGGGGTCCAAACCCCCCTCTGGTATAAATCACTGGATCATCCGGACTTGCATGCTCACCCACCGCAGCAAGGTGGCTCTCACTGGGGGGTGCCAAGGGTCCTGGCTATGAGGGACTATACATTTTTCACAAAATAAAAGATTGTAAATATAATTACTTACTGCAAATTGAGGTATTGTATATCTGTAATAGTGAAAGGATAACAAAATTAAAGGTAATTATCCTAATTCTAATTTTGTAAAAGACAAAGAAATAACAGTGAGCTACACTCAGTAATACCTTAAATGCGGGAAATTTCACAATATCCTTCATTACAATTTTTGCAGGACAATCAACCTTCTTTGAGACAGGTAGACGACGGTCTTTGATCTTCAACAACTCCACCTGAAGGAGAACATGAGTACAATCATTAGACACCTCTTGTTGAAGTAGAGTACACCCACCAACCCATTAACATCTAAGACTGTATAAATAAACTTTTCTTTGTCCAGCCAACTACACGTATACTGTACATAAATTCACAATGCCATTGACCTGCAATTGTAACACAAGACAATTACCACTGTACTGTACAGTCCTTAGATAATGTTCAGTGCTGATTACATCATCCTATCCAAACTTTTGTATGGCTCCATGTGTTAACTACGGTTCAGGCATTCTCCGCGTTACGGAAACTTGGGTTATGGAAATTCGACCTTACGGAATTTTGAAATTATGAGCAAAAATTTTGGATGCACCCAAAAAGTTCACCCTTAAACAATTTTGATAATTTAAAATTTTCTCAAAAGAAAAAAATGATGATATATAACAAAGAAATTCACCAGTATTTTTAAATTTATTTTGTATGGATTCTGGATGGTTGCTACAAGATGGTTGGAGGACAGTGCACGTACCCACCACAACAGCAATGGCGCTGCTCAGTTAGAATTCTTCCTCAGCTTGTGCTCTGTTTTGCATCCATGTTACTGCGTACCCTTATTCAAGATGAGTGAAAAAGGGCCATCAAGTTCAAGTGAAAGCAGTGGTGATAAAAGATAGCATAAAGTAGTTACATTAAACTTTATGTTATAAGGAGGTAATGCCCAGTAACTCTGATCACACCACATCATCTCACCACCTTCTGCAGCAACATTGATTCTGGTCGAGTTAAATTCGTGTGCATATATTGTCATGCTACATCATGAATGAATCATTGTATGTGTTTAAAACTATTTATTTTGATTCATATATGCGCTTGTATTACATTTTTTGGCTAAAAAAAAATCCCTTGTTATGCATCTCACATTATATACAGTAATGGGAAAAATGGTCCCAAGTTACAGAATTTCGCATTACAGAAAAATTTCAGGGACAAAACTCTTCCATACCCTGGGGGATGCCTGTACTGTATTAGCAAAGTCAGTTCAGAATTATATAGACTCAATAAGTGTCACAGTCAGACATGGGGCTGAACCTAGCTTTGGCTTCTGGAAGCTATATTTTTTGGCTTAGTATAAGCTTCAAAACTTTCTAAAGGCTTCAGATTCAAAGCCAGAGCCACGGCACCGACTTCAGCTTCAAAACCACGGGTCTGGCTTCGGATTTTGCCTTTACACACACACACACACTCACCATATTGTGACATTACAACTGACCTGCTAAGAAAGCTTAGGTGTGTGCTGCAGCCTCAGTGACATCACAGCTGATCCCTCTTACAAAAACCTGACCTGAACCTCGAACAAGTACAGTACCACCTACCTCTGCCTCCTCACCCCCAGGTGCTGTTGGCTGGCCGACAGATGATTCATTGTTATGCTTCTGTGTGATTTGTGACTTACTGTGTATTACTGTGCTCATAGATTATCATATACAGTATATTTAGTAGATGATTTTTTTAATTACAGTACTGATTTGTTTTGAATAATGAATAAAATAAATGAATGAGTGATATAACTGAATGTAATAAATGATGAAAAATTAATAAAATAAGTACCCTATAGAATTTGTTTACTATAAACAACCTTTTTTCAGTCTACAGTATAGTAAGAGTCAAAACTTACCCCAAGAACAATCAGCTTAAAACAAAGTCAGCTTAATTTAAAAAAACTTGCTCATTGGTATAATTTATTGGGATTGGAGGGGGATGCCTTCCGAGACTAGTAAATAAACATAGCAAAATACAGTACAGAGATCTTTGATATAGTGGTTAATAGGGACGAGAAAAAAAGCCACTGATAATGTAACCACTTATAAAAAGGAATTAATTCCCATAAGAATTAATAGGAATAGGGTCTAATTGGGACCATCATATAGGTTTTTTTTTTTTACGGGGATTAGCTCCCCCAGGCACAGGTCACTGACCCACACCCTTACGAACAACACGTTTTGTTGTGAGCATCGGCTTATCAGCTGATGGGCTAGTCTGCCAATTCAGTAATCTGTTCGATGTTTACATTCATTTCCAATGTAGTAATTATCAATAAAGTTGTGCTATTTAATATTTGTGCATGTTTTATATTAAAATTATTAGTCATTTTAACATTTATTTAACACATTGGTAATATATGCAGTACAGGGAACTAGTTTGATGTGCGCCCATCAGATGCGTGAGTCGGTCAAAAGGTGTCAGTTGAGACTTTGAAAACAGTGGAGAGAGCATCTATTTTGTTGGTGTCTTGAATATTTTTGCATTTTTCATTGAAATTATTGGTCATTCTGAACTTTAGTTAACATATTGATAATATATAGCACAGTGCAGTGCGATTTAAAGAAAATAATCTTGAATTACACCTAGTGAACTTAAAATTTTATTGGTGAAATGACTACATCAAGCATGGGTACCCTGAAAGGTGATTTCTCCTCCATCCCCAATTTCCTTCTCTTCCACCCCACTCTTAATTCCCATCATCATCATCAAACAGGAACCTTCTACATACACACCTCAAAGTAAGTGTACTGCATTTTTTATTTTTTATGTACTTTTCTGTGAGCTGCAACCAATTACCCAATATCCCATTGAAACAAAGGATTCAGTTAACGAACGACCCTCTGGAACGAATTGTGTTCGTTAACCGAGGGACCACTGTAATGATATACATTGAATACATTTGCAGGGCTGTACAGTACATAAATCAGGAGTTGTTTATTATTTCAACAGTAGATGGGATGGTGCTATTCTTATATCTATCAGTGCGGGCTCTTATGGGCTGAATTTTGTTGTAGTGGCAGACTGCGCGAGGTGGGCGGGGGACTACCGGTGGCAGTAGGCGGCGATGACGAGGATGGTGCAGTAGTCCACTGCCAAACCTTGCTAGTGCTTGGTGGTGGAGGTCACCAAGGGATGGCATTTCCAGGGTGGAGAGAGTTTTGTTGTAGCCGGAGTAGTCTGCACCGAGCATGATTCTGCAAGCGCTTTTCTGTACCTTCTCTAGCTGACGTTGTTGGGTAGAGCTGAGAGAAGACGACCAGGCTGGTGACGCATACATACGATAATTTGGGGAGAATAAAGGCGTTGTAGATAGTCCTCAGCTCTGGCGTGGGTGCCCCAAGTGACCTGAGTCATCGTAGCATGTAGAGTCGGTACGAGGCTGCCTTAATTGTGTTGTTTACATAGGCCTTCCAGTCCAGTTTGTGGTCTATGGTAACACCCAAGAGTTTAGCAGACTGCACTAACTGGAGAGGATGGGCACCCACTGTGACTGCTGGGGCTTGCACTGGAGTGGTGGCAGTATTGATGTCCATGACTACGGTTTTGGTGTGGTTGACGGTGACCTTGTTTACCGTAGTCCATGCCTGCAGCTTGTCCAGGGTGCCTTGTAGCGATGAGTAGTCCGGTGAGGTGTTGTCCACTGTAACCCCCACAGTTCAGTTATCCACATACTTCCACCTGTGAGGAGTGTCCGATAGAGAGTAGTTGATCAGAATTAGGAAGCGCAGTGATCCCATCTTGGTCTCCTGGGGAACACTGCAGGTGAGGTATTGGAATGTGGAGACAGAACCCTGGTACCTGACTGCCTGACGACGCTCACTCAGGAAATCGGTGAGCCATGAACAGGTTGGTGGGCAGCCCGGGTGCAATGGCCTTGTTGATAACAGTGCAGTGATCAACAAGGTCAAAAGCCTTCCTGAAGTCAACAAGGGCAACGGCCAGTGATGACTTACGTTTCAGCAGGTATTTGAGCAGGAAATCCAGGAAACTAACTAAGCAGTGTGATGTAGAGGAGGTCCTCATATTGCCAAATTGCTGTGAATCAAATGACTGATAAATACTAACAAATGCCCACTCAAAAAAAAAGTCTTCACAGAGTAGACTGGGTATGGGAGTAATGGCAACTGGCCTGAGGTCACTAGGGGACTGTGGGGTGGGGACCTTGGAAGTAGGGGTGACAAATGCGGTTTTCCATTCATTAGGGCATTTGCTTTGTCAGAGGGATGCATTAATAATTGAACAGAGGAGGGTGGCAAGTTTGACTGCAAACTCCTTGTAAATTTTGATTGGGAGGTCAATTGGGGTTGTGGAGCATTTGGATTTAATTTTCAGGAGTTTGTTGGCAATTTCAAATGGCCAACAAACTCCTGAAATTCAAATCCAAATGCTCCACAACCCCAATTGACCTCCCAATCAAAATATAAATATGTGTGTGTGTGTGTGTGTGTGTGTGTGTGTGTGTGTGTGTGTGTGTGTGTGTGTGTGATAATAATAATAATAATAATAATAAACGGTTTATTGAAAAAGTTTGCAGCCCGGAGGCTGAAAATATACATGGGACATAAATGACTTATTACATACATTGGTGGTTTAACAAAAGCCTTCATTAGAGAAAGGTGAAGGAACATATACAGTGAACATACAGATTAATGTTTACACATGCCGAGTATAACAAAGTTTTCTAATCGAGCATAACAAAGGCCCCTGGTCGAGTATAACAAAGTCCTCTGATCAAGTATAACAAAGTCCCCTGATCGAGTATATTAAAGTCCCCAAATCAAGTATAACAAAGTCCCCTAATCGAGTATAACAAAGTCCCCTGATCGAGTATAACATATCCCCTCATCGAGTATAACAAAGTCCCCTGGTCGAGTATAACAAAGTCCCCTGATCGAGTATAACAAAGACCCCACATCGAGTATAGCAAAGTCCATCGCTCAAATATAGGAAAGTCCACTGATCGAGTATGACAAAGTCTCCTGATCAAGTATAAAAAAGTCCCCTTGTCGAGTATAACAAAGTACCCTGATCGAGTATAACAAAGTCCCCTGGTCGAGTATAACAAAACCCCCTCATCAAGTATAACAAAGGCCCCTAATCGAGTATAACAAAGTCCCCTGATTGAGTATAACAAGGTCCCCTGATCGAGTATAACAAAGTCCTCTGGTCGAGTATAAAAAAGTCCCCTGATCGAGTATAACAAAGTCCCTTGCTCGAGTATAACAAATGCCCCTGATCGAGTATAATAAAGGGCCCTCATCGAGTATAACAAAGTCCATTGGTCAAGTATAAAAAAGTCCCCTGGTCGAGTATAACAAAGTCCCCTGGTCGTGTATAACAAAGTCCCCTGGTCGATTATAGCAAAGTCCCGTGATCAAGTATAACAAAGCCTCGTGATAGAGT